AACACCTAGGGGCATTGGTCCTGTACTGTGTGCTTCACTTCCTATTAAGTAGGAGCCATGAGCATTACTAACACCAGGCACATGCCCCACATCTCTTCTGGGGTGCCCAGAGTCCTGCACTGCTACTGCTTTACTTTTAGGGGTTTTTTTTGGTACCTTAGGACAGAGGTCCCTTGAAAGGCTGTGGAATGCTAGGTCATTATTTTCCTGATCTTTTATCAGACTTTTAATAAGGAGCCACATGATTGCACCATTCTCTCATGAGGAAGGAGAGGAAGGGTGCAACACTATATTATAGGACCTACTCTCACTGTGAACTACTGTGGTATCTGAGTGAAGGGAGGTGGAAGACTACCTGTACTGGGGGAATTTGGGTTGGAGGGAAGAGGTCTGTACTGAGGGGGATTGGGGGTGAATTTGTTTTGGGTTGGAAATCTGTACTGGGGTGGTGAAATTTGTAGAGGAAGGAGGGGTAAATATCTGTTCGTGTGTACATTGGCTTCTGCAGCACCAGCACAGGAAGTTATCTGCTGATGAAATTTCTGGTAGAATCAACAGATAAAACAAAAATAGTATATTTAACAGTGTTACCTTGTTATGGTTTGCATACCCTCTAAAGTCTCCACCCATTGTATTTGCTTATTTCTATTACAGTAATAGACAATACATGGTGAGAGATCTAATGTGATATGAATTTTATCTTAAAGTTGGGTACACAGGTAGTGAAATTCGCACAGGGTATTGCTATCAGCACCCCTCTGCCCAGCATTCTTTAATCAGCTGATCAAAGGAGCAGGTTGGAAAATTCTCTGCCAAATGCTCCGTTCAGGTATTCTGATAGCGACCACCAGCCACTGTCGGAATAGAGTGAAAACAGCAGGGGATTCCTCCATCCACACTCATAAGTGTGGATGGAGGAATCTGTTATATTTTCTTCATTATGCACGCAGGTTGAATGAAAAAAATATGTTTGTCTGTACCGAGCTTAAGGCCTGTAAACACTAGTCCATGCTCTAAAATCCTGCGTTTCAGTGGATGGGCTAGTGTGTTATGACAGCTCCGGTAGTGTGCCCTCTATTGCACACTGCCAGAGCTGTCACTGTTTACAAAGTTTAAAAAAATAAATAATAATAACGTAGTGTGCACAATGTGTATTCATTCATTCAGGTTCCCGCATGGCAGTGCAGTGCGATGTACTGCTGTAACATACAGAGCTCTGTGATAAAGTGCAGCATGTTTGCATTTTATGGCAGCACACCACTCACTGTGTTGTAGTGTGATTGGGACATATAGGAAACAATTATTTTCTGTTAGTCCTTGTGATTATTTGCGTTGATCCAGCGCAGTACAAAACAGATGTGTGAATGGGCCCTCAAACGGGAAAAATTTTGGGAAGAAAAATAGAGCTAAAAAGCTCCTAGATTGATAGCTCATTTGGACAGGGCTTTTTCTTGTACTTTTGTTTTTGTTGTGTACCCTTCACGTTGGTCCACAAAGGGGCTCTATAATTCTGTCAAGGACACGTCATAATATCTGATCTTTACCACGGCATTGCAAAAAAAAAAAAATGTATATTGCTATCCCAGCCAGAAATTAAGGTTATGAGGGAGAGTCCCTCATGTGGTTACAGCAAATGGTTGTAAATTAAGTTTTGTTTGCTACAAAATGCTGTGACGCCACTTATAGAAATCTTGCATTTCCTGTTTTTAAAGAGCCTGAGGCTACCAAAATCATTTGTTTATACGGCAGTTAGCCCAGTCTTTTAGACAAGTCTTTTCATTGCACAGATGGACACCAGTAACTAATAAAATCTGATGTCTGCCTAGAAAAATAAATAATAAATAAGCTACGTCTGTAGAAAAACATTGTTCCCTCTGCATGGTGCGTGGCAGGTGTTTGGGGGCTGATGTTATATCTGTTGTCATAACAGATTAATGGCATCAAAAGGTGATTAGCAGTCTAAACTGTTCTGGAAAATATTTTCCCAACTCTCAGGTTTCTGTAGAATTTCTTTTTTTATGACTGTAATTTGGAACTAAACTTTGAACTGGATCATTGTAACTAGCAATGAGGGAATAAGTAAACATTTGCTGTAAAGGGTGTTGTCCTGATATTTGCCAAATTTTGGATCTTTTTTTTTTAAACATATTTTTAACTTGAGCACCCTTGTAGCAAAATGGTTTAAGAAAGTCTGCCATGTGAACTACAACTCTGTGTGAACTTCTCACAATGTAACATCATCATTGTTTGCTGGAAGTCTTAAGAAATTGAGATTTCATCAGATCAAGCAGCAGGGAGAGAGAGAAGCAAAGCACACTGGGAATCCAGAAAGTTGTTGAAAGTGATAGGCAGACAGAAGACAGAACTCACTACATAAAGGTTTTTTTTTCTTCTTCAAGTAAGCTTGATTGCATTCTGATAAACAACCATAGTATCTGTTAGGACTGCAACCAACTAATCGAGTAATCAATAAAGAGAATAGCTGTCAACAGCCTGTGTTTCATTAACTGTGTGTCCCATCCCATCCCTGCTGCTCCCAGAGGGATCAGAGTGGTGAGGAGAGCTCCCCTAAACCTACCCCCTGTTTTCAGTCTGCAGCATTCTCCTCCCCGCTGGTAGCCCGCTGCATGCTGCGGTTTGTGTACCCACTGCTCTCCCCTGCCTGTATCGGCAGAGGCATAGGGGATCAGAGAGGACACAGACCACTGCAGCCGGCAGCCAGCGGGGAGGAGAGATTTATGCATGCAGTTTTTTTTCTGAAGTAAACTTTGAAATACTTCATTTATGTTTTTTAAATAAAAGTTGGTATTTAATTTTGTTTTCCCGATTGATTAAAATAATCATCCAACTATAGATTATGAAACTAGTGTTAGTTATAGCCCCAGCATGTATTCCTATTACAATGCTGATGTTATAACAGGAAAGTATATGCTGTGCATTTAAAACTCCTTTTGAATTAAGCTTTTCTAAGAGAAACATGGAGGCTGCTTCTGAATATGCTAGCTGCCTGGCTACTATTCAGGAATGTTGGAGCAAAGTCATAAGTCCTTATCTGCATGCTTGTTCCAGGTCTATGACTCAGGGCTAGTTCACACGAGCCACAGGCATTGATGTGCCACGCGTTCCTTTGAGGCCGGATGGTGTGGCTGCAGTGCCATTGAGTTAAATGCAGTGCCACGCTCCCTCCTGCCCCAACACAGTGAGCCAGCCGCAATGCGATCCTGTGTGTTCCAGGCCCAATTGGGCCAGAAACTCACTGTGGCTGGTGTGAACTAGCCATGAAAGTATTAGTTATAGGGGAAGAATGCCAACTATAGGCATTTCAAAGCATGTGTCAACCATGGCAGCCTCCATGTTTTGTTTTTTGTTCCTCAGGAAAGATGTCCTTTATGTAATGTCTGCAATTGTTTGTTTTTATTTTTTTATTTTTTTTATTTTTTATTTTTTTTACATAAAGTAACACATGGATTCCAAACTCCTGTAGCATAGTAGTGGATATAAAGGATTATCATCTTATTGCAGCTGAAAATTGAATGGGGCAATTAATGATATTTACAAATACCAATGAATTGTCCCAATCTGGGTCAAACTTTGTAGGCCCGCTATAGCAGTTGTCTTTATGAATGAGAAACTTGTAGTGTAGCTGAACAGCAAATAATGCTAGGGCAAGTATTGCTGCGGCACATAATCCTTGACCTGCAGCATGTGCTTAGGAAATACCACATTTTATACATTCCTTTCTTGTGTTCTCTGCCTCAGAAATGTACATTTGTCTATGTTACAGTGTCTAGCTTTCAGACAGCATATTATCTTGCGGTTTTAAATAGTAGCGAGGAAGCCTAAGGTCACGTGTGCAAAACCTCTATTCTGGTCATTGAATTTATTGAGGTTTTAATTTAGCAAGTGCTATTAATAAAGGCCAACTTTTCATTATAAGTCTCTTGCGTTCCTTTTTTATTAAGTTGGTTAGCTCCTCCATAATGTTGTGTTCCTTGGCATCCCACTGGCTGCACGCTGACCCCTTGTTTCTTGGCAATGGGTAAAAATGTAGTACATCTAGGTTTATTTATATAGAGGTGCAAGCACAAGTGATGTAACAGTACCCCCAATATGTCCAATCAAAATTTACTTTGTATCAGCTTACAATTTTCATAACTGGTTTCTGTGAGTTACTGCACTTGGCATCCTCTTTGTCCTAGTTACAAAACCCAGTCCCAACTGTACATGGCAGCTAGGCATCTTCTAGTGCACTGGTCGCCAACCTTTCGGACCTCATGGACCACTAAATTCATAATTTTAAATCCCGCGGACCACTAATAAGATTTTTTTTTTAAATGTATATATTCTCATATTTTTTGTTTCCTCATATATAAATATATTCTCGTGTGTGTATGTATATATTCATACACACACACACACACACACACACACACACACACACATACACATACACACACACACATATTTTCCCTCTCTCGAATCTGCCAGTGGCCCTGCTGGCGGCACCCGGGGCACATGCCCCCCCTAGCTTCAGCACTGGCCCCAACCACCCCCATGTCTCCCCTTCCCTCACACTGACCCACTATTACCTGGCTTCTCCCCACTTTTTCCTATGTCCCGCAGTCTGCTCAGTCCAGGTACTGACGAAATGCCCCGCCTCCTGCAGAGCCCGCACTGTACTGGGAGCCACGCATTCCTTGTGACAGCCACTGCTTGAGTCAGTGAGAGGCAGCCCCAAAGTCTCTGTGTCACTTCAGTGACGGCCCAGCCTGCACAGCATCAGAGAGGCCCGGGGATCACCAAAATGTTCTCGTGCACTGGACGACCGGTTGGCGACCACTGTTCTAGTGCACAGAGTCCGTTATAGCAAAATTGGTCATGCTGTTGACTTGTTGCTTTTGAACCACTAGCTTTAAGTGGGAACACTATATTTACAAATCAGCTTTGTTTAATTTTTTGTTTTTGTAATAGTGTATTCTTTCCCCCCCCCCCCATTTTAGCCGCTGCAATTGAAGAACCAGAGGTTATTCCTGATCCTGCCAAGCAAACGGATCGTGTAGTGAAAATAGCTGGCATTAGCGCAGGAATTTTAGTATTCATCTTACTGCTTCTAGTTGTCGTTTTAATTGTCAAAAAAAGGTAAGGACTCAAAATGAAACTGCTAATTTCTCAGAACTGTTTGTAACTCTCAGAAACTGAAAAACCATAGTGGCATTCTCTTGTCAATTAGCAGACTTTTGCTGGTTTGTGTTTGATGTTATGTGCATATTTGACTAAGGGGCTTTCATTTTTTATAAATGTCTTACTTTTAGAAAAAATGTACCAGTGTTGGGTTCTCCTAAATAACACATTCAAATTCTGTGCTATTAGATGTGCATCCGTATTACCATGTAGTAAATTTGGTCACACTGGCCTAGAAAAACATCTTATCTGTAGGCTGCTTTAGGATTTAATTTGCCTTGTAGTTGGATATGGTAGATTGTTTGGTTGGTACAATTGTGTTAAGCGTGCAGAGCTTTACACTTGTATGCAAGGATCACGCATCTTGTAGGTAGAAAAAAGGAAGACCGTGTTAAGGTGTGTAAGCAGTAACTCATTTTTTTAATTTGGATGCAGCAGTTGAGTATTGTCATGTTACTGCCTAATTCAATAGATGAAAATTCCAATCTTTATTAAATGTGTTGCGTTTCTTCAATGCACCTGAAAGCTATCACAGCACAATTACAAGATATTCTTTAGGGTGAACATAAAAAGTTTCCACTTCTTATGTCACTCTTTTTATGTGAAAGTTGCAGCATGCTTGCTGAGGACCTGACAGATTAGTGGTAGTTCCATGTTTTTATTTTAAGGCTCCCTTCTCACCTTTCATGAGCATTTGTGCATGCATCATCATGGACATTAACATGTGCACCCCAACACTGGGCATATGTGCATTGCCATTCATTCTAAGTAGCACCTCAGCGCACATATTCAATATAAAGCAACTCATCTGACCTAAAGCACACCACAATACACAGACCAGAATGGACCAAGGGTTTAGTTTTGTTTGTGTTGAGGCTCATTAAGAACCCCTTTTAAAGTCAATGGAATGCCTAAATGCAACATGCGTCCATGAACAAAAAAAACTAATCGTTAATACATGCAAAGGTATAAATAGAGTCCTCATACCTGCTTACTGCATCTTTTTTACATATAATGCTGTGAAGCTTCGGTGCTATTAAACTAAGCACTTTCATACAATTCAATAGAGCTGCTACATATTCTACAAGAAGATACTTGTTACAATATAAACGCAAAATATGCAATACAACACTGATTTGTAACAAATTATAAAAGTAAATCAAAATACAAAGAATATATTCATCGCAAAATTATAGAAAAAAAAATAAAGTTGTGTGAAACTTTCTCCAAATAAGTAATTTCCGAATCCATGCATCTGCTTAGTTAATCCAACGCCACAAGCTTGCCATATTCTCCATCCAAAATTAAAAATGCTCACACCATTTATTTTAGAAAGGAATGCAAAAGCAGCTTGAAGCAGGTTGATGCAGCTTAGGACATCAAATGAAGGTCCCCCATGTTGTCTTACGCTGATGGCTCAGCAGCTGAAAAGGAAGCCTTCTTTTCTAGCTGCTGAGCCATCCGCATACACCAGCAAGAGGTACCTTCACTTGACCTCATTCCGAGCTGTGTCAACCTGCTTCAAGCTGCTTTTCCATTATTTTGTAAATTAAATGGTGATTGTGTTTTCAGTTGTGTGGAGGTTGTTGCAAGCATGTGGAGGTGGATTACCTAAGAAGATAAGGATTTAGAAGACTTGGAAATGGTTTTACACAACTTTATTATCTATTACGTTGTTAAAATGTTGATATAATTTTGCTAATAATGCTGTATATTGTTTTTACTTTTGATATAAGTTTTTGCCATGGTCTATGGGCATTGTTTTTGTAGATGTAAATCCTATTTACATAGCTCCCCTTTTTGAATGCAGTATGTTCACAGCATACTAGTTTGTCTGTTTGTCGGATGTCTATTGCATTAATAATGTAGTTTATACTATCTCCTCCATTAAAAATGTGTATCCTACGCATTCAAATTTTAGTTTGTCCAGTTATCACTTTAGAGGCATGTGGCTAGCTTAAGCTGTATTTGTTTAGCTTCATTTCAAATTGAATGGTGGTTTTGTATACGTGATGGAATGAGATATGGAAATACTTTCTGTTGTAAGAAGGATTTGCTGTGCTGCACACTGGTTCAGTAGAGGGGTTTTGGTTTCTTTAATCCCTACTCACTGTGTAACCTTCTGGATTATACTTTCTTGTTGGGTCCCAAGCCCTACTCAATAGAGGCTATGGTCTCCATACACTGCACTGATGATGGCCAAAATCCTGAAACAGCTGTAATCAGTTTGGAATAAATGATTTCATAATAAGTTATTTCTGTACTATACACTATTTCTGGATGTACAAATGGCCATTGGGGCAAAAGGAAAGTTTACTTGGCTCTACCTATTATCCTGAAATGAGGAATAATCCCCTTTTTAGGATGTGAGGATTGAACATATGTGCTACGTAAAACAACAATTTGAAAGAGCAAGTATATAAAAATGTGAAAGTAAAAAAAATGTTCTTGCTGAACAAGCACTATATTTCCCCTCCAATTACATGCAAGTCTTCAATTTGAAGTTCAGACGCATGTAAGAAGAAAAACAAATGCCATTTCTTTTGCTTAGGTGTTAGGTGATCACCTAACACTACTGGGCTGCTTAAAGGTAGCCTTACAGATGGCGTTTTCTTAGCATATACATTACAGGAAAGAAAGGCCACTTGTTTTGACTTGTTCCCAAGGTTTAGATTACTGTTAAACTGATATGTGCTCCGTTTGTTTTGCCAAGTAGATTCATGGTAATAGTCACTAATGCTCTTTTATATTGCTAATACAGGTATCTCCTTACCTAAGTTGTTAATAAAAGCTACACTGTATTCCACTGTTGCCTAGGCAATATCATTTAACTGATAAAAGACCTACAATCACTCTGCCATGCTCTGTTAACAACAGCAATTCTGCCAACACCCTTATATGCTGGACAGCTGTCAAAACTAGGGAAGTTTAAAGGGCAAAGTCACTGACATCGGCTTAGGTCTTGAGAAATCCCTTTGGTGTGCCTTACACAGGTCCCTTATCTCAAAGAATTTTCTTTTAGATCCTCTATTTCGTAGAGTTTGGCTTGGTTTAAACATGCAGTGAGGAACACGGATTTCTTGTTGTGTGACAGTAGACAATGTGATAGCCTTGTACTATTCATTGAAGCTAAGGATAATCTCTACATTATTTTTGCCCTGCAGGCTTGTTAACTTGAGCAAAGTAATTGGAGTTTTCCTTTTAAAATGAACCTCTCACTAAAATGAACAGTTCAAACAGAGCTGATGATGAAAAAACGCATAAGCAGAGGTTAGCTTCAATGAAACCAGACCTAGAGTGGGCAGCTGAAGTTATGTGTAAATGACCTTTTTTCCTGAGATAAGTGAAGCTTCACCCTCTGTAGCCCCCATTGGTAAATGATGTTGCCCAGTACAATAAAGGGCCAATAGGGAGGTAGGCTGTGGCATGCTAAAGGAAACATGAAGATTTGTGTACAACCTCAACTGCCCACTGTTCTAGGACTTTCTCAAAACTGAGGTTTTGATCTTAAAGGTGCCCTTGTTATGAATTGGTGACTTGCCAAGTAGTCCAGCAAGGATAAGGTGGAAAGCCCTGTATCCTCATTCAGAAGCAAGTGAGCAATGGCAGATCATATATATATACACATTTTTTTGATGGCATACATCCCTTTTTTAATTAAAGGAGAACTATGGGGTTAGGGCTTTTCCCCATAGTCTCCTGAGGGTAACGGGAGGACACCAACTAGCATCCTCCCATCACCCTAAGCTCAGTATACTCACCTCATAGTATACTCACCTCATAGTTCTAGCCGACCTGTGACAATGAGACTGTCACAGGTCGGCTCAGTAGATCGGGAGGTGAGCGAACACATGCCGGTGTTTGCTCACTTCTCGATCCTGTCACAGCTCTCTGCCGTGGCAGGGGAGGGGATGGATTCTCCCCTCCCCGCTCCGATCCGCCAGCGCTGACTGGCGGAACGGATGGGGGAGGGGGTGGGTACAGCTGGCTCTGCCTCTAGATAGGCAGAGCCAGCTGTCACTCACGCAGCTGGGCGGATCTCGACATCGATGTCGGTATCCGCTGCGGCGTCTCAGTATACCGCGAGCTGTAGCTCGCGGTATACTGAGCTTAGGGTGACGGGAGGACGCTAGTTTGTGTCCTCCCGTTACCTTAAGGAGAACTATGGGGAAAAGCCCTGACCCCATAGTTCTCCTTTAATGGACTTCACAGAAGGTCTGAACGCGGCTGCTTCCCTTTTGCTCGGCGCTGCTTTGTGTGCAGTGTGTCACGGCTTTATACTACTGCTTCAGTCAACAGATTCTAGTGCACATAACAATTATGTGGAGGGATGTGACAAAATATGACATTTTTTGGACTTTTTATTTTTCTTTCAATATTCACAAAAAACTAGCTAATATAAAATTTAGTGGATTTTTCTGTCCACAATATAGGCAGAGCATAACATTTTGTACCGATAGAGAGGCAAAATTGCAGTACACAGTCTACTTCCAGAGATTACTATCCATTAAAGTTAAATGTATTCTACACAAGTACTTTCTGTTTATTTTTAATAGTGATTACATTATTATGCATGCAAAAGCCTTTGCAAGACTTGCTGCATTTGTTTTCTTCCCCCACAATTATACTGTACTTGATCCTTTTATCCTAGTCTGTGCTGCTGTCCCCATGTCAAAGTTTCAGCATATGAAGATTTTAGCATTATATGTATTGGGTTTTCTTTTCTTCTGCGTGGGAAAATTAAAATTAAACAGCACCACCTAGTGTCACTTTAAGGTAGCACACCAATTGCTTACCATCACAGATGTGTATGTGTTATTCTTTGCATGGCAGCGTACTCTGCTTAAAAATGAATTTACTAAGATTGTGCTGTCTTTGGTACGTTGTTAATATTGACAATGTCACTGTAGTAATGTGTTAACTGTAGAAATGTATTAGTACATGTCTTCTGTATAACAAACATTATTTGTATTTTGTATGAACGTGAACTAATGTTTTACTGTGGAAATCTGTTGTAGTCATGCTGTAATGTTTTCTGATTGGACTGATTAATTATTGCCTTTTCACAATTACCTCCTGGAGATATATTACATGGCGAAGGAACTTCTGCATTAGAAGCCTTAGGTATGCTCCAAGTGTTGTCTGCAAGCCAGCTACTCATGTGCTTTCATGTATTATTTTCAGTTATTTTATACAGTGCTTTCTGTTGTTTGCTAATGTGGTTGATAAGTAACCATTCACTCACAAAATGCTTTATGAGGAGATTAAATTAAATCATGGGTCGATCCAAAACTGATATGTTTTGGGTGCAATTGCCCACTGGTTTCTTCTATGCCTTAGGACTTTGTGAAATCTCTTCTCCTCGGTTCCAAACTCCCCCTTCTGCTGCAGAAAATAAAAGGGTGTCTTACTCCCCCAGATCTATTTTTCTATATCGCAATAAATTCTGAAAAAAACAGGGGAATTAAGATGAGGAAATTTTTCGAAGCCCGTGGACGTGCATCAAAACAAACTTCCCCCTGTGAACAAAAAAAGTGCAACCGTGAAATCACAGCACAAAAAAACGTGCACAAGGGTGCAAGGTCCTTCAAAAGAAGGGACCTACTTTCCCGACCCCCCGGGGCGCAAGGCTCCTGACGGGTTGAGACTGTTGGCCCACCAACCCGAAGGCCGGTGGACCATTTCCGTCGAGGGTGGATCAGCTTATCAGCAGCCACACAACTGCTGAAACCTCACTTTTGGGTGCGCTGACATCTTAAAGTATAATTGTCCACTTACAGTGGAGCGGAATGTTTGTACTGGCTGAGCAAAGTTCATGTGGATCATAAAACAACCCCAAAACACACCTATGTGTGTCAACCACCGTATATCAAGCATACACATAAAGTACAATAGTTATGGTGCAAAAAATATTAAACAATGTGAAATAATGTGTGACTCATTAATATTCGAAGATATGCAAATCAATCAGCATAAATCATTAAACAATGTGAATAGTATGTACATAAATAAAGTATGATCAATAATAAAATATATAAATAACTAAAGCCCATATAAATCACAAAACTTCATCCGATCCTCACAGGACAAAGATGACTGGCGATCAGTTCAAACACTGATGAAAAAAATGTATATGTGTAATCATATAATCCCAATCCGAAGAAAAAACAATGCTCCCCACCCACCAGATTCAAATGGTCAAAACGATATTGATCACAGGACGCTACTTTAACCAACCAAGTGATGGCTTCTAACAAGTGATGGCTATGAATCAATAAAACGGTCTCCTCCTCACTTCTCATACAAATGGATCGGAGCCGGGATTTTAGCTCACCGATAAAGAAACAAATATACAGCACATAGCATAAAATCTTAAAAAAATGTATTTTGTGCAAAAAACAATAAAAACTTAAATTAAAAAACAGTGGATAGAACTTGTAACCCACAAAGGGGTATATCTCACAATATTAAGCAGGCTAATGGTCCCAATTAGTGATGGGCTCAGGCGTGTTCGCTAGCGCCTCGTGCCGAGCCCGCTGGTACGCATTTCGTCTTTTATTGAAAGAAGTCCATGAGGACGAAATGCGTCAGGACGAGCGTATACATTGCTGCTATCCTCTTCATTCCATTGTGGAGCTGCGTTTGGACCATTCACCTGCTAAATATTGTGAGATATACCCCTTTGTGGGTTGCAAGTTCTATCCACTGTTTATTGATTTAAGTTTTTATTGTTTTTTGTGCAAAATAAAACATTTTAAGATTTTATGCTATGTGCGGTATATTTGTTTCTTTATCGGTGAGCTAAAATCCCGGCTACGATCCATTTGTATGAGAAGTGAGGAGGAGACCGTTTTATTGATTCATTGCCATCACTTGTTGGAAGCCATCACTTGGTTGGGGAAAGTAGCGTCCTGTGATCAATGCGATTTGACCATTTGAATCTGGTGGGTGGGGAGCATTGTTTTTTCTTCGGATTGGGATTATATGATTACACATATACATTTTTTTCATCACTGTTTGAACTGATCACCAGTCATCTTTGTCCTGTGAGGATCGGATTAAGTTTTGTAATTTATATGGACTTTAGTTATTTATATATTTTATTATTGATCATCCTTTATTTATGTACACACTATTCACATTGTTTGATGATTTATGCTGATTGATTTGCATATCTTCAAATATTAATGAGTCACACATTATTTCACATTGTTTAATATTTTTTGCACCATAACTATTGTATTTTATGTGTACGCTTTTTTGCTTTGTTGGTCTTTCGCTGCAGCTATCATTTATTTATAAATAAAAAGGGGGGGACATCCGCAAGTGCGAATACTAATATTTATAGATATTGAGCAAAGTTCATGCTTTGAATTACTATTACATCCTTGAAGTTTAGGGATTTTGCTGCTTAAGAATGTTTGACTCCCACATTTTCTAGGCTTATAGGTATGCTTTTAAAGGGATACTATCACAAAATAATGACAAAAAGCTATTATGTTTCATATTTACATAACCCTTTACTGGCTGGCAATTATAATGTAACCTAACTGACCTGTCGCCTAAATTCCAGCATATGGTTGTCACCCAATTTGGTCAATTTTAGCTTGCTCACCTGCTTGTGGGTACCAGCTAATAACTCCCCCACCCTTGGCCTCCATTCATTCCCATGGCAGTATTCCATCGACCAGGTTGGAAGGATTTTTGATGGATCACTTCTGCTTCCCTGAGATATGGCATGCAAACATATCTTAATTGTTTGTCATGTTATAGACAATACAAGAAAGCATTGTTATGCAGTGATCATCTGTAAAAACAATTGCTTTGCAGTCAGTTGATGCCCTAATGTCTATGACGAATATAAGCTTGTATGAAAACAAAATATTAGTCTTACATTTCCTAAAGAGAAAATGGAAGGACTGTGGTACCATAGATGCGCTACTTTTGATTATTTGATAAGCCTTTTTGAGCATTTGGTGACTTGGATTAGATGGTGGCAGATCTTGCCTGGATAATGTAAGGACAGATATCTTGCCACTCATGCTACATCTGCCTGTGCTAGTACCATGTATTGCATCCAGAGTCAAATCTCTAGAGATTACAGAGGGTATAAACATTACAGATTACAGAAGGGGAAAAAACAATACAACACAAATAAAATGTATTATATATATATATATATATA